AAATCAGTAATTGTATTAATAATTATAGTCTAACTCCCAATATCCCATTTATAGAAATAGAGCCAATATTTCTTAAACTTTTAAATTTCTATAAGGAAACTTAAGTCCATGGTTTGTTAACTAAATTTAAATAAAATAAATGTAGAACACTATGATTATTCATTTTATCACTAGTATCTATTTTTTTTGTTAAGACATATATGTGACTTGATTATAAAATAATGGTTGATTAAGCGATCATAAGGATTTTGAAAAGCTTGCAATGTAATTTGGGAGGTGAACTGAAAATCAAATTGGATATGTCATAAAAGAAATATAATGTACATTTACATTAGAATAAGAATGAGTACTCAGATTAAATTAGCAGTATCATATGTAAAACAGATACACATTTTATAAAATAAATTCATGTGTTCATTTGAAAGATGAAATGAGTTAATGTACTTAAAATATTTAAAGCATGACTTGCCTCAGAAGTAAGCATTCAGTAAATATAAACTTTATATGAGGATGAGATCTTTAAAAGTCTCTTTCACTAATATGATTTAGTAATAATTTTATATTTCTCACTAGTAGGGTTTTTGGTAGTAATTTTATACTACACACTACCAGTATTTGTATGTGTGTGTATACACATTTATACATAATTTCATGCAAAAAAAAAGACAGCAACGTGTCTTTAAATTTTATAACTTTTAATACATATGGTATTGTTAGTTTATGAATAACTTGATTCTTCAAATATATATATATATATATATATTCATAATATATAAATTAGTGATTTTTCTTAAGGAACGTAGTAAAAGCCTAAATTATGTTTATTTGCACTGTATATTGAGACTTAAAAATCATAGAGATCCCTTTGGCTCAGCTTTTTCTCTGCTGGGTATCTTCCCAAATGAAAATAATCATAACACACAGATTAAGTGCACCCATGTTCATAGCAGCACAGTTTGTAATAGATTAAACTTGGAAACAGACCAATTGCCCATCAACAAGAAACTGGATAAAGAAGATGTGTGTGTGTTTTTTTTTTAAGTTAAATGGAGTACTACTCAGAACGAGAAACTGTAGATGTTTATAGCTAAATGGATGTACACTGAGGCCATACTCTTAAGTGAAATAGGAAACACGTGTAAATACCGAATAGTTCTCTGGTGTGAGAAACTGAAAGTATAAATGAAGGTCAAAATGTATAATAGATAATGTGAATAGGAAGAAAAGGTCCAAAGGGGAAGGGGAAGGGGAGGTTGCAGGGGTAGGGGAAAGAAAAAGGAAAATAAAAAAAATTACAAGAAAGGGGAAAAAATGGCAACAAAGTCTTTCTAAACAGGGAGGAGTGGAGGGGTTGAAGGGAGGGCAGGGGAATGGGGAAAAATAAGAACTAAGATACATCATGTAAATAATACAAATTCCCAATGATGAATGTCATCATACTTAAAATGTACCAATAAAATTAAAGAATTTTCATTTTGTTTGTTCTTTTTTTGGTACCAGAGATCAAACCCAGGTCCATGTGCTTGTGAGACAGGCATCAGAACCACTGAGCTAAATCCCTGGCCTCTAAAGAATTTTTAAAAATCACACCATTCCAAGGAAAAATGTCATATTTCAGGAGACAAAAACCTATGTAAACCCATGATTTTAAAGTGTCACGTATATTACGAAAAGTGCAGTTATGAAATAGGACCAGTCTATACAGCAAGTCTTACATTAAAAAGGCAACAATTGAGTTAGCAAATCTCAGAAACTGACTTTAGGTAATATAGTCCTCCTTTCTATCGTATTTTAGAAGATCAGGCTACACCTACCAGTATGAAAAACACATTCATAATAAATACTGCTTAATATATGATAATGTATAAAAGTTAAAAATTCTTGTCTAATCAATGTATATTAAAAAGCATAAAAGTATACTCTGATAATAAGGAATTTTAGCAACAAATATTAATGCACAATCATTTCAATAGTTTATAAATTTTGTCTAATTTTAAGACTTAAAACTTTCAACACCCCATACATTTGCCTTCAATATTTAGCAAAAGGTTAGCAAAGCATAGTTAACTGTTTTAATAATAGTCTATATTTACTAAATATTAATAAGCTTTGAAATATGCATTGTGTGATGAATACTTAAATTTTTAGATAAGTAATGACTGATGGATACAAAAGATGAATCCAAATTTAAAACATGCAAAATCAATGAGTATTTCTTCTCAGGGTCACTTCAGTCATTAATATTTTAGTAGGAATTAACAATGAGTTTATTCTTTATCTGTCAATGAGCCTGGGCAGAAGAAAATTACAATGCATAAAGGAAAGTTGCCACCTAGATTTTAAATTTAAATCTCACTTAACCTTTTTCTCCTTTTATTTCCTTTCAGACTCCCTTTTTCTTTTTTCTCCTTAAACTACTGTCATATTCCCCCTAAATTTATTTTTTTCAGCTTTAATTGAGTTTATTGGTACATTTTAGGGACAAAGTACAGTTACATTCATTGTTGGGATCTTGTACCTCTACATGGCAGGGGTAAGGGGAAAAATGAGAATCAAGACTTGTCATGTAGAGGTACAAGTTCCCCACTAAATTTAAAAACTTCCAAATTTCCAGAATCTTCTTACACTCACACTGCTGCTTAGAAATACTGGAAAGCAAAAAGATTAAATTTTCATTTCTCTCTACCACCCATATTTACATTTTCCTAGAGATCACCTGGGAGAAAAGTAGAGCTGAACCTAAAGGACTTATATTTTAAATAAATGAAACGAAACTCAATGGCAGCGAGGTAGGGAAAGCATTTCAAGGTAACATGTTCTTGTGTGTCCTACGCATATAACTGACTAAGTCAGCCAGGTAACTTGTAGGTTCTTCTGCACCTATAACCTAGATCCTAAATTAGGTGGGCTGGGAGGAGAGAGGGACAGGGCCACAAGATGCAACCACTAGATTTATATGTACCTTCCATAATGTTTAAGATAATAATAAACACATGTTGCTGAGGGCAGCTTCAAGCTGAACAGATGAGATCATGTTTGCCATGCTGCTCACTGTACTTAAGAGTGGGCATGCACATACTTCAGGTGCACGGGAGTGTTTTTGTTATCACTGGTCATTGTGGACAGCCAGGGAAAGCAGTCATATGGAAACTGAGGATCTTAAAAAAATATGTTGCTCTACAGTATTTATAAAATAACTTGGCTTAATTGGCTAGAACAGGCAGAAAAGCTATTCATACACAGGCAAACTGGTATACACTCATCAGATATACAGCTCAAAATTTAGGATATAAACAACTAGTACGTATCATGTTCTCTGGATTTTCTCTCTCTTGAGAATACTGTCCAACTGGATAGAGTGGTGAATGGAATGGTAGTTTTGGTTAGTAGGTTACTTTACTAATGCAAATACTAAAAGGGTTAGGCTGTCTACACCAGCTACTGTACTAAACTAACAGGGGTATATTTAGGCTGCCATCTTTGAAAATGTACCTACTTTAAATGATTAGCCATCTGTTTTAAAATTATTATTTAGATTTTCTACACCTAGATCAGTGTTCTACAAACTGTATCCATTTCTACCTAATATTCTTCTTCACATTTTATAATATGGTATCTAGATTCTAGATGAGTTAGAATTTATACATAGGAAAACTCTATAGAGAAAAATCAATTATTACATTCTTCAGGGTGTATTTTCAACTATTGTTAGAAGAATCATCTTATAATCTTTGTACCCAGTTAAATAATACATAATATAAAGACTTTCATTTTTAGAAATTGTGATAATTGAAAATTTAAATTCAAATAGAATTATTATGGAACAATATGGAGGATGTTCACCTGGTAGCCTATTTCAATTTGGTTTAAGCCCTTTTCCTCAGTGACGTAATTCAAGAATTTATTAACATATTCCCACCAGCTTGAACCGCCAGTGATACAAGTTCCATCGAGAGTGGCTTATACCTCTCATGGTACAAAATGATCTAATCACTTTTATTGGTCTTTTCACTAATAAAATTAATAAAAAAGCAGCCTGATGAGACAGTTATGCATGTACCAGTATGTGTCAAGTCACATAATAGCAAGACATATGAATTACATCCTATTGTGAACACGTTAAATCAATACTTTTGGATAATCAGGTAGATAATCTACTGTAGAAAATGTTTATATACACACACACACACACACACACACACACACACACACACAGAGTCATGCATTTGTTAACAACAGAGAAATGTGGGCCAGGGATTTAACTCAGTGATTCCAGTGCCTACCTTGCAAGCACAAGGACCTGAGTTCAATCCCCAATACCAAAAAACAAACAAACAAAAAACAAAACAGAGAAATCTTTCTGGGAAATGCATTTTTCATAGTGCAAACATCAATTTTGTCATAGTGCAAACATCACAGAGTATGTTTACACAACTAAGCTACCATATCCCTAAGGAATACAGTCTTATGAGACCACTCCTATATGTGATTCATTATTGATTGGAACATTATGTTGCACATAAATATACATCTGTATATGTACACTTTATATTTGATATCTTTTTCTCAATATACTAATTGGAATACATTGAAACTATAGTAAGAAATTGAAATACTAGCATTACAGTCACTTTTTTGGTTACCTAAGTGTAACTGTAGATTTTATGTTCTGAAGAATCTATGTAAAAAGTGAATAGAAGAGAATAATAAAAGAGTAGATTTTTTTAAAGTAGGGAGAAACTCTATTTTGAATGCCAAAACTTACTTGCTTTCATGAATAGGATTCTAACCTCTCACACTAGTACAGCAGACTTATTTTGTAAATAGTAAATATTTCAGTGAATTTCAAAATATCTCAGGAAGAAATGCACTGTTTGTAATTCTAATTTTTATCAAGATTTTTGCACTATTTTAAAATGTGAAGTTGTAAGCTTTCATTTAACTGAATTTAAAACTACATCTAGGCATACTATACACATATATATGGAAATCATACTCACAGGCAAACTGAAGTGTGGCTTCTCTACTAAGAATACTTCCAAAATTGTTGGTTGCTAAACACTGATATTGACCAGAATCTTTCGTTTCACTTGGATTACTTATAATGAAGGTGCCGTCTATCAAACTGTAGCGATAATCACTTTCCAAATCGATTTGTGTTCCATTCCGAATCCATCTTAGGAAGAAGAAGACACCAAAGTAAAAATGACTAAGACATTATGACACTCCCTGTGAAGTGTGTAAGGTTTTAAACAAGTGATGAATAGTGAATTCTCACCTGTAAGTGGGAATGGGGTTGCCACGAACTTCACAATTCAATGCTACCTTATTTTCATCAGAATCAGTCGGGAAAATGATACTCTCTGGTTCCTGAACAAACACTGGCCCATAGTCCACACTTTCTGTAAAGACCCAAAGGATGTACTTTAAAATAGCAAAAGACATTTTGCACCCACATAATTACATTAAAAATTTTTAAATGGGTTTAAATTGAAAAAGAACAAATAGCTGACAAATGCATTATTTTTAGTAAATTACAGACACCTAAACATTTGTTATTGCCTAAAAAAAATGATCTTAAAAGGTACATATGATGGAAAAACATTTATGCATATTTTCAATATGTCATTGTCCTCATTTTATAAAATAAACCTAAAAAATATTGAACAATAAGAAACATAAAGGTTTGTAAGCCTAATAGAACATCAAAAATAATATATGATAAAAAGTGGCAAATTAATATGGTGCCAATAAAAGCTACACATAAAAACAGTCATCATGGGGGTTTTAAGATATTTTTTCTACACTCAGCTCTCAAACATTATTTACTTGGGGCTAATGATGCTAGGGTATAAGAATAATGTAATAATACAAATACATGTATTTTCATGGATAAATAAAACCTGGTGTCAAAAAAGTTTAACGATTTAAATGTGAAAAATGTAAGCAGTTTATCCAAAAAGTAAACAGACTATATAAGGCGTTCAGAAGCACAAATACATAAAGAGGCCACATAGGAAAAGCATTTATATTCACTGTCTACTAAATTTCCTATTTGAGATTCTATTTCATTTAGTTAGTTCTTACTCAGAGAAATCCTAAGAAAAAGACAATTTGAAACTAATGAAAAATTCATAGAAGTAGTAGGAATAAAAACGGATTTCAAATGTCAGGCTAGACATGAGTTTAATAATAACTCTGCTGGAGAAATAATGAATAAATGTGCTAGTGAGGAAATAAGCCATGTTAGCCTGCAGTTCTGTGAGAAGATAGAGCATCATGTGCATATCTGGGACTTACAATATTGCAAGTGGTAAATTTGGGAAAAAGTTAAACTCTTTATCATCATAGTTATGTGACAGCTGTGCATCAAGATTTCTCAGTGTCAGCACAATGGACATTTTAGGACAGATGTCTGTGACGGGCTGTTGGTTTCTATGCTGTATTCTGTGCTGTGTATTTCTTCTATACCATATGACATTTACTAGCCTTCCTGGCTTCTACTCGTTGGATTCCTGAGTCATCCTTCTCCAGAGAGTAATAATGGGATATTTCTGCAGACATTGTTAAATGTGTCCTGATCAAGATCACCTTTGTTGGAGATCACTTCCTTAGACAACTGAAGAACTCAGGAAAGGAAAAACACAGGAAATGCATATTTCTAGTATCTATACCAAATGATTAGAGACCAACAACCTCTCTGGATAACTGCAATGAAATATCGGGAAAGTAGTAAAAGAATGCATGTGTGAGGACACTTGAGCTTTAAAAAAAATATTTGAGAAGATGTAAAGTACATAATTGAAATAATGGATTGAGAATAAATTGATTTTCTTTTTGAAAATGTTTACATTGTTTAATACATGTCTCTAGTACATAATGATTAAATACATCATGGGGAGTTGGTACATGTATCTAACACATCTTAATTCTTTTTTCACTTCTTTCTCTCCCTCCCTCTCCATCTCTTGACCCCCTTTTAAGCATACTATATCTTGTTCTGTCCATACAAAGAAAGAAATGCTCACAATATTCTAAACTTACACTGAGCAGGGAAATAAATGATTTAATACGTGGAGGAAATTATCAAAATTTTGTATTTGTTGTCATTTCCTAATACAGTACAAGATGTAGAAAAACACATAAAATAATTCTGAGCTTTCAGAGGAGGTCTCCCCTAAAAATTACAAATAAATACTTGATTTTTTCCACCAAATACTGAGGTTTGAACCCAGGGCCTTCACTTATTTATTTGTCTGTTTATTTGGTACAGGATTTTGCTAAGACTAAGCTGTTCTGTCTGGGCTCACACTTGTAGTCCTTCGGCTTCAGTCTCCCCAAGTGGTAAATGACCCCACACCTAGTTTAAGTAGTTGATTTTACCTAGGTTTTTTTTCTGCTTTTAATTTTTATGGTTGGAAAATTATGCAAACAAGACAGGATAAGTAAAATTTTATCAGGGATGAACAAAAAGATCTTCTTAATTATGGGCTGAATGTTAAAAGGATTCCAAGTAACATGTATTTAACATGTATGCATGTATATGTATATATATATATATATATATATATATATAAAAACTGTCCATAATTTACAAGGTCTCTTCTTGTTGATCACTGTCAGTTCCCAAATATTTTAGCCCTATTCCTTGACTCCATCATTCTATTTGTTTCGGCTGAGACAAGATGCCAATACAAATAACAATAAATAGAAAATTAAAATAATAATAAAGTATTTCTGTGGTTAAGTTTAGCAGTATTTCTTTTTTTTTTCCTGTCTTCTCCTCTCTCTTAGGTGTAAAATTTATTGTAAAGCGTAGAAGAACATATTACTTAAAACTTTCAGCCCTAGGCGAAGGACAGTAAGTGATGATTCAATTTCTGTAGAGGTTAGCTTTTAAAACTCTATACTAACAAGGTATTATCAATACAGATATACTCAGAAGGATATTTGGCTCCTTCTCCTGTGGTAGTGCTTTCTAACTATGGATCATGGTGATGCACTATTTAAAGTCATGTCCAGACCTTTTGTACTTTTTGCTTGATAGAATTTCTAATTTGGGGAGACAGTCTTCAAAACTTATATGAGAGTAAAGTATGCCAAATATCTAGGCAACCAATAAATTAGTATCTTTAATGAAATAAAAGCCTTTGAAACATTTGTGTAACAGGCAGATGCCATCATACACAATGTTCATTTCTCATAGCAACAATGTTTCTGGTGGTTTTTTTTACTTTATCAGAACTTTTTATTAACAGACTGCTAGATTACTTATTTATAGTTAGCTGACCCCTTTAGGCTAGTTCGTGTCTGTGAAATGTCAGATTTATACCTTAAGAGGGGGCTTTACTTCAGAAGAGAATCGTTTACTATTGTAGTTTTTCACACCAGAGAGACTATTCGGTATTTACACATGTACACAAGATCCTAATGGGATAATTAATAGTGTGAAACAGGAAGAAAAAGGCTAAAGGTGTAGGGAAAGTGGGAAGGGTAGGGGAAAGGGAAGAAGGGAAAAGAAAAAAATATGAGAAAATGAAAAAATGGAAATTAAGTGTTTATAAATGGAGAGGGGAGGAGGGGGTGAAGGGAGGGCAGGGACAAGGGGAAAAAATGAGAACCAAGACTTGTCATGTAAAGGTACAGGATCCCAATAATGAATGTAACTATATTGTATACCTAGAATGTACCAATAAACTCAATAAAAAGAAAAAAAAAGAACTGTTTCACTTTAGGAGTGTCCTGTTGTTTCTCTATGATAGCGTATGATGAAAATAACACTCTCACTTCCTCCCAAGTTTAGCTCCTCAAATTTCTCATTTTATTTTTTCATTGTAGATCAGTGTTTGTTACTCATATTATACTGATGTTATTATTTATTATATCTTTTCAAAATAGATTTCCTTATATTTCCCAATGCAAAGCTCCTGTGTGCTATGTTCTATGCTATATAGTTAAGAAAATCTGTTTTAGGCCGGGCCTGGTGGTGCACACCTGTAATCCCAGCACTCGGGAGGCTGAGGCAAGAGGATCGCTGTGAGTTCGAGACCAGCCTGGGCTACATAGTGAATTCCAGATCAGTCTGAACTACATAGTGAGACCCTGTCTCAAAAAATCAAAAAAAAAAAAATTCTGTTTTTTATTTATATGGGTATTTTCATTCTTATTTTGTATTTCCAAGTCATCTCCTCTCACAACAGACTCTTCTAATTAACAGTATTGTTCTACTTTTGCTCTTTGACTGCTGACAAATTTCTAACCCACCCCGTTACCTGTTCCCTTTCCCCTTACCTCAGGGAAAGCGTATAATTCAGGGACTCTGGAGGGGAAATTCATACCACAGAAATATCAGGGTTCACAGAAACCATCACTCCACTCTTTTTTTGTTTGTTTGCTTTGTTCTGTCCCCCCCCCCCCCGGCCCGGGGATCGAACTCAGGTCCTTGAGCTTGCAAGGCAGGTAGCAGAACCACTGAGCTAAATCTCCAGCCCCGCATCACTCTACTCTCAATTCCCAACAACAATACAAACTAAAGACATTCACTCTTTTCTTCTTTCTACTCATTGCCGGACCTGAAAATTCTCCACTCAGAAAGCCTAATAACATGAATAACATTGTTCATCCCTTTTTGCCGTACCTGTGACATTATTAGCCTTTGTATTTAAATCAGTTTCGGTTTTGAGTGTACTAGCTTCATCCACTACAGGGAAAGTACATAGAAAGTTAGAGTTCCTGTTTCTGGGTAGGAGACAGTAGGTCTTCAGTCAAGTAAAATGTGGTAGAAACATAAAAAGGCTAATTCCTGATGTGTAGCTTTCTCTTAGCTTTACATGAGAAAACACGCTATGTTATTTAGAGCTTTCAATAACAGACTGCTGTGGCGTATGAGCCATAGATTCACCACCACTGTACTTTGGGATCATCAGCTGTTGTGTGAGGTGGCTGGGAGTAGGGGATCAATGCCAAAGGCTATGTGTGAAGAGAGGCAATCATACAAGGCAGCACAAAGTGAAGATACTTCAACTATGTTTGTCAATCACAAAATTACAAAACATATACTGCTCTTCGGACATAAATTCCCCATAAAAGACTATTTCTGGGCTAATTTTTAGAAAGATTATGTCTAATATCAGGCCCCGACACTCAGTTTGCTGGCTAGTTTTAATTCATGGTCCTGACTGGTTTATTTATGTAATATTACTTAAGCATACTGGTGATACAATTTAGAGGAAATATTTTTGCCTGAAGGAGCATATCTGCCTGTTTTCATCTTCACAACTCTGTACCTTTTAATGTACCTGTGGACTCTTCCATGTGTCTGGATTTTTTAAAGTGACACTGACTTCCCCAGTAAGTGAATGATCCATTATTTTGAGGAAGTATGTACAGAATTCTGTAGTGC